TTCTTGAATATGAAAATTGCGGTTAATCCCAAAGATGCTGCAACCCCTGAGGAGCCACAATCATGGAGCGTCTTCATCCATCGTTTCATTTTATTTATTGAAACAGGAATGATTCAAACACAAACTGATGGCACACATTTGGAAGCGCACTACTGTCTAAAATGTGCCTTCATTTATAACAAAAAAGCACAAACCAGGGTAAATAGCCCTGGACTAGAAATAGTCCTAGTCTTCAATTAGAAAGACAAACAATTCCATATATACACTATATATGCTCATGAAACCAGATCTCTTCTTTCAGGGAGTCCTGGTCAAGAAGGCGAAGCAATGGTCAACGGTTAAAGAGGAGCGTCATGCAGACATACAAGCAATAGCACATTCCACCCGAGTTATGGATTATCTGAAACAGCAACAAGTTTCCTACGAGGCCATTTAAAAAAGACCATAAAATGTATTTAAAGCAGGAAGTGAATCTCAGGTAATGACATTTTACAGCTTGGCAAAAGTCCATAAACACAGAAAGTAGTTTTACCAAGCTCTAAAGGCACCCTGGGGACAACTCAAAGAATCCAATTTGCAGATCAAGTGCTATATTTGCCGGTATGAAAGGTTAAAAAGCTTAAGATATAAGCGGGTAGTCTGCCTAACAATGTTTTGGCATATACAGCCACTCATGCTTTTCTCTCCTCTGGTGCAGAGAAGACTATCAATATGAAATGCAATGAGTGAGTGCATGAGCTCACATTTATTACACACCGAATTCTGTGTGATGTGCAGAATCCAGTTTCTAAGTACTCATCAAGCTACATGCTCGTTAATTACATCACCATTGCACATTTTTCTCTTTGGCCTCAAATGGAATGCATTTATATGTATCTTTTTTTTAAAGCCCAGTTTTGGCCTTAGCCTTTTTAACAGACTATCAACATATGACCAAGAGAATTTCTTTACATGTAGCTTCTAATGTTTAGGGATCTACGGACTAGTAAGGGACAACTGCCTGAGAGGGAGAATAACTGCAGGTCACATATTTGGTATCTTATCTTATTTTAGCTGTATGACTGGACTCAGAGGTGGCAACACACAGATGAGTCTGTCATCAGCGCGCATATGGTATTAGCTGGATCGTTTTTATTAAAAAAGAAAATATGAAAAAGGCTTAAATAGATCCAAGTGGGAAACCTTTGTTTACTATAAGTGATTTGATGATGTCATTAGGAGCTGCTACAGCGCCTGATCTAATCTCTGATGGAGATTCACTCAGACTATCGAATACTGTTTTAATTTGCAGAGCCGGAATACTAATAAAACAATTACCATGTTCCTGTTTGGAAAAAGGACGGTAATCATTCAAGTCAGAAAGGTTTCCAGGTACTAGGTTTGGAGTTATAAGACAAACTTAAAAACAGAAGCAGGAGGCCTTTCAAATATCTCTGCAGCCATTTCTCTTAGAAGTAAGGTCAATCTAACCCGGGCCAGAAGATGTTGACGTAGTCCCAATAGAGCTTTGTTAACTTGGTGCTGGAGATAGAACCAGCTGAAATAACGTCAGCAATATCAGTTCTACCATTTCTTCCACTTTGAACATTAAGGATTCAACTAACTTCCAGTCGTCTTCCAGATTAGTATTATTTTTAATGGTTAAACAGCAGTCTAATTTCGAGGATTTTCTTAATAAATACTTTAATATTTATTTCTTTAGGTATATGATTCAATTTAGCAAATGCATCTGTAAAGAGTCCAATACAAAGGGTTGTTGTTTTCTTTGCTTTGGCTCAGACAGCATCTGTTTTTGTAACGAAGTAGGAAATATATTGATTAAGCCGAGGGTTGTCTTTACCATTTATCCTAAATCGTTTAGGTTGTGTTTATCACATGCAACCACAGAAGTGGATTTCAAATAGCCCCCAGCTAGATCGACATCAGTTACCCACCCACCCTTTTCACCAGTCCTGTGTAGTCTGCATACATACAGTAAGTAGCAGTGTGTGCTGCCTTCATGTGATGTCTACATACAATCACCTACCCAGAAGACATTTAGTCATCCACATAAAAAGTGTATATAGGAAGAGCAAATGGTACATATACTCTTTTAAAAATGGGTATGCAATTTTCGAGCACAGGCCTGAAAAAAAGGGTTGTGTACAAGAGGTTAAGATTCACATGCATAAAGGCGGCACGTGTAGATTCCCACTACTTAGCACCGCGGTGTAGAATGTAAGGCTGACAATCTGTATCTGGAAGATCAAAAGAGCCCATCAAACAACATGCATTTCTATCAAGGTCAGATTATCGGACGCAGGATGCACAGCGTGGTTCAAACAGCATGATACCAGACCAACAACAGCTTATGTGTGGATATTCCTCGTAATACCAGTCGGCATCTAAATAAATACAATGACAATGATGAGAGCTTTACCTCGGAGGGACCATAGAGGACAAACGCAGGTACGAGCTGCTGGTTTAAAGAGACAATGCAACACCTTGAGAGAGGAGGACCGGACACTGCTGTGCTACTGACCAACCATCAACTGAACAAAGGTGTTTGTTTGTTTTTTTGCAGCTGTAAGAGCCCTGAGATCCAAACTATGCAAGTTACTTTTTTATTTAAGTAAAACAAGAACATTTTCAAATCCAACACGGAGGCTTCAAGCTGTTGCATTCAACATGTTTGTCCTAGTTTCTTTTCTAACCTGTAGCAAGCACGATTGACATTCCAATATTTATACATAACTGATGCGAGAAAATGATTTGAAGTCCAAGTCCAAATAAACTCTCCTGTTTGCTCATATAAACTCTAAAAAACATTTTTGGTTTTGCAAAATAGGATAACAGTTGTATGCCTTCCCTAAATATTCATCCTGTAGCATCCAAATGTCATCACTTCAGCTTTCGTATCCTATTGGCCAAAATCATGTTGTCAGGCCTCAGTGATTTTTGACCACTAAAATCTAGTCGGACCAATTTGAAGATGTTTCCTCAACAATCTGATGCACTAACTACAATTAGTAACTCCACTGGTATCGGCCATTGCTGGCGTGGAGGCATAAAAGGGGCAAAAGGTGGGTTTAATCCTTTGAGCATCCAATATTGGCCTCCTTGATGATCCCACAGGGCAGACAAAGGTGCCCTGGTTGGAGGCATTACAACCTTTCTGGCTAAAGGATAAATGTATCTCTTTAAAACGGAAAATGCATCACTTGGCTGAACACCTCTTAGTATTATTATGTGCACTGCTCGGCTTTGCTGGAAATTGGAGAAATAAGGACTGGGCAGTGAAGCAGGGTTACTATTAATATTCCTACAATGTTTCTTTGACAGCTGCAAAGGAGACAACTGGAGAAAATCTAACAAATGTGGGCAGTGAAATTAAAGATAAGGGTCTCTTTTGAATCTCACAATTAGGTCTTCCCCTGCTCTCCCCTCATTGACTATTTTCTAATTTAACTGTCAGTGTCATTTCTTGCACCTGATGAGACTTGTGTTAGGTCTCGCTTTTAAACCTGCGTGGATTGCATGCGTAGGGCTGCACACTCGTTGTAGATTAGTCGCGTAATTGTTGTTTTGGTCTGAAGTGAACAAAGTTTTCAACGGCTTGGGAAACCTTTACCAGACCTTGGTTTTAAAGTCAACTGTGCAACTAAGCAAGAAAAACACTTCAACAAAGATAGTACAGATCCCACTTAGGGTGCTAACATTTTAAAAATGTTGCTAAGTTTGCAAAAGGACAAGGAGAACAAATAGAAAACCCGTGTTTCCTCTCTTCAATGTTTTATTTTTTATTTTTTAAGTGTCATCTAGTCCAGTCCACAGTCCCACCTCACTGCTCTACACAGCTTTGTCATCAGAAGACGTTATTTCTCTGCACATACAAGAGATGGATGACAGAGGCAAGTTTAAAGGACAAAGGCCTTTAAAGATGAAAGAAACCAAGGGGCCACACATTCCCTACGCTGACCGGCTGCAACGGAGCAGAACACACACAAACACACAACCAGTTGCACTGTAGTGTCGATGGTATTTGCTGTTATGTTGCTGATATTCATCTGAAGAGAGCATCTTTGGTGATAGAGGCCAAACTGTGTGTGTCGTTTGGCTATGAGTTACTTTTAAAACCTCTTTGCACACAAATCTGGAGAGAATGTGTTAGTCTTTCATCCAAAATACCTTCTCCATCCAGCATGTGACTCTCTCCCTCTCGGTTCTACGCTGCTGTAGGAGAACATGTCCATCGGAGCTTCTATAATGAAAAGTGTGCCCTCCCTGACCCCTTCCTCCCCTTCTCTCCCCCTTCTCTCTAACTGTCGTCGGCTGCTGACTCCTTCAACTTTCCCCTCCTCTTATTTCTCCTCTCCTGCACTTTCTTGCTTTGAATCACAGTTAAAGTCAACAGCAAAGTTAGCAGAAGAACAAGGTAAAGTTAAAGGGATAGTTGTAGTGGCTTGTATGTGGTATTCAGCCATAGTCGTCTACTTTATTTTAGGCAGCTGAAATTAACTAGAAAATATTTTCTTTGAGTTGCTTTGCTGTCAGATGCCACCTTTAAATTGGGAACTGAAGCCATTATCTGCGCTCTCTTCACAAGTTGTTGTTTACTGGTGCTTCGATCTGGTAGTGTGTTTGAGCTATTGTGTGACTTTAGTTTTTAAAGGTTTAGATCTGACTGACAGAATGACACTAACTAACCAACTAATTAGGGAGGCGGAGTATCCACTTCTGAGTTCTGTGAGGAGAGATTCTAGCTGTGAAGTCTTGTGAGGTCTGACAGCGAGGTGCCACACAAAACATTCTACAAACAAAACAAACAGTCCCATTCAGTAACTAATCGTCACTTGTCACGTCTGTTTTCTAGGTCAGTGGTGGTGTGAACAGACCAATAGATTCTGGTTGTCCTGAGAGAAACACACAATAACGCCAGCGTTTGGTGTGTGCGCGCACACACCCACACACACACAAAGGGGAAATGAGTCAGACTTTGTGCGAACCTTTGTGGATCTCACCTTTCCTGCTGCAGAGGCTCCTTTGTCCATCGAGAAGCTGCAGGGAAGCAGAACAAGAGGAGAAATTACCTCTGGTCTGCTAATACATGCACTGATACAAACAGGCAGAACATGAAAAGATCTACAGGAGTGCACACGCGAGTGAGAATCCCTCTCTCTCTCTCAATGACACACACACGCATGCAGAAAGGCTTTTTAAACATCAGGACTGACGGCTTTTCATCTCTTAGAATACATTTCTAGGTAAGCGCAAATGCTCGCTACGACAGATTTCTTCGTCACAGCTGCCATGTTTTCTTAAGAGATGTCGAGGAAATGCTGCACACCAGGGTTTTTTTTCCCTTCCATGAATTGTGAAACCTACACGTCCTCCAGGCAGGCTTTTAAATAAGAGCACAAACATCAAAATAAATGTCACGAACACACACCGACGCACTCTCTCTGCAAACATAAGTCTTTTGAAATGTGTGCGTCATGTTTTCAGGACCACATCCCTGCGCACGTTAAATATCAGTGCAAGTCTTTACATCCTCACGTACCCAGCGAGTAAACTCAAAGCAGTGCCTTGAAGGAAAGAAAAAACTAAATGAACTTTTAAAATAGACAAAAATACTGCAGTTCCACATGCAATGGAACTCAAGAGTTGTCGGCTGCTCTCTTTGTACTGCCAGATAACGGATAGTCCAATGAAAAGATAGTAAATGAAAAACCGTGTGCAGCACTGATTAAAAGTCCAATCCAAAATGTTAAATAAATGAAAGGAATAATAGTTTTTCATGTAGCTTTATGTTCACATAGTAAACACACTTATTAGTTAATAAAACATTTATTTAGGGCACCCAGTGTTTCAACTTTTTTGACTGCCTCAGTGTACATATTACAATATGTTCCCCTTCTAGTTTATTTAACAGATGAAATGGAAATTCAACAAGAAAAAAACCTGCCGTTGTTTTAAAGTCTTAATGTTCCTGTCGAGAGAAGGCTGGTTTAAACAAACGAATAAACATACAGAGAACAAGCATCTGTCTCTCCGCGTTGCATCGGCAAGAAACGCCTGAATCCCTCAGGCAGAACAGGGAGAATGTCAAGCACACGTCATAGCCTCCGTTTGTTTGGAGACAGGGAGGAAAGCGCCTCCACAGCCGTCGGGCTGTCAGTCGGTGGGTTAACGAACTGATGAGAAAGTGAGTCTGGCATTTACATCAGACTTTAATATGGTTGTTAGGGGATCACATGTATTGCAGGTAATGAGCTGCAGACGAGTTGTTCAGGTGTGGCATTTTTGAAAAGAGCGCATTCTTTTTCAACAGAGCTAACAAAAAGGAAGAGGATTTAATTTTTCTTCTGCTGAACCACGCAAGTTCAATTCTTTCTTGCATGGTTTAGAAAGGAATACATCTTCAGTGGTTTTGTCAGCGTGCAGTGAGTTTGGCGGTCAAACAAGTTGAGCCGCGTAGTGTGTGCGTCAAACTTACTATTGTTCATGAGCTTTTGAGTTTTAATTATGTGTCCCTTTGGATTTTTTAATCAAACCACCCACATTATTTAGCTTTCTATTCATTTGGTTTCATGTGCGTACTTTTTAGCAGAGTTTAAAAGGCCAATAATGAATAGTCAAGACATTTTTAATGATTTTCATTCATATAAATGTAAATCACCGTTGTTGCTCATACGTTACTAATTAATAATTACAATTACAACAATACCGTGTGTGTTTTTAGGGCTTGGACCAACTCACCCCGCCATGCTGCTATCGGCGGAGCTCTCTCCGATCTGCGAGCTGGCGATCCACTTGGTCTCGCCCACCACCGTCCTGGCGTGCGGCAGGCGGCCCACGTCTTTCACCGTCATCATCAGGTGCTGCGACGACTTCAGGACCCTCACGGCTTCGTCGTGCGGGACGCTCAGAAAGCTGCGGCCGTTCACCTCCAAGATCTGGTCGCCCACCTGCGGGGGGGGGAGCGAGCACAGAGGCATGGCGGGGAGGACTGAGCCGGGCGGTAAGGGTGGAGCAGGCAGGGACTGCCGCCCGCAAAAAGGTTCACAGGTAAAAGGTCAGAGACGGAGTTGGTGGAGGTGTGAGAAGACATTTGATGGTGTCAGAGTGTGATAAGCAGGTTGTAGGTTTCTTGTTAAAAGTCATGGCAGCAGAGCAGAAGGACACAAATAATTAGGCCACACAAGGAATAAAGAATTCTCCGCTCGCTGACAGGTTTAAGAGCACGACTGTTCAATATTGGATGTAATATATGTAATTTCATTCTGAGCCTGGGGGCAGCAGGAGGATGACGATGTCCATACTAATCCGTACCTGCTATAACTAGCTGACGTTTGGTGCTTTTACCTGGAGTCTCCAGATGCATCAGGGACCCTCGTCTGAGAGGCTGATTCCCCGTCTCCACCTCAAACAGCACGTTCTCCACGTGTTGGACTTGTGTCCGCCTCCCTTGGCCTTATCTCACGTAAAAATCATGAATGAGGTTTATTGTGTTTTCTCGGGGAAAAACACAGGGAACTTTCTGTACTCAACTTTTCACTGTGCCTGAAAAATAGCTGGCAATTACGGTCAACTTGAATAAAAATATTTTTTGTCATATTTGCTCAAAGCGCCATTATATCCTGAGAGTAGTAAATGAGATGGATAGTTTGTGAAAAAGAACAGGTTCTTCTTGCTCTTTTTAGTGCTCCAATCACAGTCAAGGAGTCTCTAACGTGGCATTCAATTACTGCTGGAGAAGCTCGTGGTTGATCAAATATGATGCAACGTTATTTTAAGTTACCAACTGTAACTTTACAGTCACTATAGTAAAACAGCACAACCTTTTCTGGCATTTAGACTTGATATTGTGTTAAGTATTTTATCACCCAATGTCTGTTTTTTGCCCTATTCCCACTTAATTCTTGTCAGCCAACCAAGCCTCACAAATAAAGCAAACAAGATTAAAGACATTGCGAATCTTGGAAGTTTTCCAACAACCCAACAACACTACGTCCGTCATTGCTGAAGCACTGCAGCAGAGGCCATTCTTCACATAAACCTTTACCATTATCTGCTTCTGCAAAGGCCCAATTTCATAATACAGTTGTTTTATTGCTAACCAGCAGCACAGCAAACACTTCAGTCAGGCTGATCTGAAGACTCAGGGAAGTGGGACAGATTTGAAGACAGATTACAAGCTGTTAGTTCCAGCTGTTTGCCTTACAAAAAGGCAGAAAAAAAGAGTCAATAAGCGGCTTCTTATGGACTTCATACAGTGTTTGACAACACTAGAGCTCAGTTTATTGTGAGCTCAGAGCGATTTATCTCAGATTCACTTGTATTGGACGAAGCCTGAGAGCACACAAGGCTTTGAAACGTGTGAGGACAAAAGAAACAAACACACCACACCAATTTTCTTCTCTCAATTCGTACCACTGTGAAAATAATGATAAACATTACCACATAATACTCTTCAATTTCCAATAGTTGGCAAAGTATCCAGTAATAGACAGTTGTCTGAAAACCATTTTCAATGAACACACGAGCCCCGTCATCTAATACCAGCACTCAGAACTGAGCTCAGTTGCATCTCGTTTCCATTGATCATACTGCAGATAATCTCCAACAAAAGCCTTTTTCCCCCTCAGACTCTTTGACTTGCTACAGCTGGAAAGCACTGGTGTTACTGACGTCAACAAAGGCACTGCTGCACGTGCAAAAGTGACAATATCAGTTTACGAATACCGTTACAAGTAGTGGTCTTGAATAACCCTTGTACTTAAAGTACATAACGCATTAGCCTCGCAATATACTTACGGTACCTATTGTGCAGAATGACTCTTTTAAAAAAAAAATATATATAATACATATAGTTATCATCGGATTGTAACCATTGGCAAATTAATACGTAAGCATGACGAAGGGTGATCTCATTTAAATAATATTTGTAATACAGCTTTCACCAGTAATAGAATATAATAATGCGTGAGCTATTTTGTGGGCCCCCTAGTATAACGTCTCACGCTTATGAATGCTGCCGCGAGGAGACATGAAGAGGACTATGACTGAACTTCAGAGGAGCCGTCAGGAAGGACGGGGTCCTGCAGGGAGTCGCCCTGGAAGACTCCTAAAACGGACAATTCTCTGATGCACAACAACATATATCATTGCTGCTTCACAGTCATGATGTCCAAAGAACTGTTGTCACATTAAGAAAATAATCAAATCCTGATGTGGTTTTAGGACCAAATCTGCTTGAATGGCTTGAATACAACAGCGCCATCATTAATGTTAGTAACACCTGTGCTCTTCCTGCTATGACGAGTCAAAAGGACTGCTTTCAAAAGCAGGCTTATTAGTTGCTATGGTGACAGTGGGGGTGATGTGCAACATGGCCTGTGGTCAGGAATCAAAGCTGGGATGCAGCATTCACACACAAACCAACACAGCCAGTCATTTTATTCTTTACTCTATGGGCCCTCCTCAGACTGATCTTTGTGGATAAAACAACATACATACTGATGTATGTGATATTTACTGTATCGTTGATGCTGCAATTCCACACTATACTATTGCCTGCAGTGCTGCGTCAGTCGTGTGGTTCGTTAAAGCACCGCTGTCTGTCAGCGCCAGCTAATCACGTCACATTATTAGCACTTGTTGTATTTGGCACAAGATTGGAACTTTGATTCTGACTCGAATAACACGCTGATTGAGTTTTATCACCCGCCGGAGCTCCTTAAAAAAACACATTGTTAATTACAGCACCAATAAACTGTCAAGAATGTCTTCAATGTTAAAATCGGTTCGGAACAGATTGATTGACAGATTGGAAAATCAACCCCTTTACTCACTGGTGTTCTGATGCAAAACACTAACAACCACTTCTTTCCTCTCCCCTCGATGATTCTGCTTTTTCCTCAGTATACTTCTATTTGACGGTAGATGGACCCTGTTCTGAGCCACAAGCAGTTTATTTGTTTGTGATTAATCTCTCTTTCACATCAGAGCCACATTGCTGCATTCTAGGTAATTAAACAAACAATGGCAATGATGATTAACACTGGAACAAATGCTGCTGGTGCAACATAGACTGTATATAAGATTGTCAAGAACTGAAAACCATAATGTGCCTGAAGATTTAGTTCTATTCCGAGTCATTTTCACAGAGTTTGTTGCAGGCTACCTTAATCCTGCAAACAATTTTAGCAATGCAATAGTAACAGTAACCTTTACACCCATATTGTACATAAACTAGGTAACCATAAGGTGACAGTTTATGAGTTAGTGTAAATCCACACAGCCCTCTAGCCCCTCAAACCCAGTGTAACGGCATCTGCTCTATTTTCCTTCTGCGATCAGAGCAGTCGCCACCTGACGGCCATTAAAAAGAACGTAAAGTAAAAGCACCACTTTTCCAACGCAGGTGTTGCTGCTTGGTGAGAAGTGATCTGCCAAAAAACCTTTAAATCTTCTAATTATGAGCCCTCCATGTCGTCTTCCATATGCCTCCGTGGCTGAGAACTCCCCAGGGACCCGGCAGGAGGAAGAGTGTGTGTGGAGGAAGGTTTATCTGCTTCCATAGTGACTCAATGGTTTAATCCATCAAAGAAAGTAGAAGTAAACACGCTGCCATCCCCCTGGTGGTGTCCTGATTATCATATGTGAGGGTTTTAGAGCCCCAGCCACACTCACTGGAACATGTTCCTTCATTACAACAAGCACACACACACTTAACTTAAAAATAACTGACTCACCAAACGTATATTGCTCCACATCCCAAAAACACACACATCCACTCTTGTGTTTTTCTTGTGGAAGAACCGTTGAAATGATGAGAGGGATTTCAGAGGGAAGGCAAACAATATAACAACAATATAAATATCACAGTGGCCCTTGAGAACCTACTGTAAGCAATCGTAAAATATATTGCATTCATGAGTATGGTACCAACAGACGGACAAAGACTGTCACTGGGCGAAGTCATGAAAACTTTAAGGGATGACTGGATGCTGCTTCTTGACTTCGTGCATCACCGTGATATTAAAATTCTTTATTTGACTGAAGTAAAGGAAAACACTAAGCCTTTCAAACTTATTTTCCACTTCATCTAAATGCAAAGGAAGAAATCATAGCTAGAGCTAGTTTGGTGACTTAAAATCATTTGAGGCCATTATTCTGAAAACCAACGGTGCATGAAATGCACATTCCTTTTCGCAGCACTTTCACAATGTTGGTCGAAAGTGCTCTTTTCCCCAAATCTACATTCTTAACTTATTTCAGAGTAACGTTTGCGTAGCATCCACATTGATTCACAAAGGCTACTTTCATTAATTACACTGAGCGTGACCGATCTGACATCTTGATGATGCAATGGCAGCATCATCATATGGCCTCTGCTACTTAATCTGCAATGACAGCGCAAATCAACTAACAAATTGTCAGGAAAGAGATTGAACGAAAAGATACACAACCTCATCATTTTCCCTCTGCTTCCAAAAAATCTTTAAAATAAGTGGTAAGTGATGAATTATGTCCACTGGCCTCTTCTGCTCACACTCATTGCTCCCAAAAACATATAATGAATATATACATATACACACACACACACACACATATATATATATATTTTTTTTTTTCTGACTCCTTATAAGCTGCCTTTTCTTTCTGTTTTAGGGTTTAACTTTTTGATCTCCTACGGCTAAATATTGTCTCCATCACCTAGATGGATGAATGAGATACTTTAAAGATTTTTAATATCGATGAAAGATAAGAACGTCCTACTCCATGTGTTCCATAAATCATCTTTCTTAGTATTGCATGAATGTCATTGTGTCTTTGCAATGATAGATTGTGGTGTTCCCTTTGAGTCGTCGTACTTTCAGGTTTGATCAGGACTATTGTCAGATTCACCTGACATTATCAGAACTATGTGATGGATAGATATATTTGCAATGCAATGTTTTCC